ACAGAAGCATTTAAGTTTTCCAATGCAAATCGTATCACGTGAAAAATTAAAACCTATAATTAAAAACAAAATTAGGACACTATATATTGCCATAAATCAATTAAACTTTCTAAAATACAAGACTACACTATCTCTGAATTTAAAATTTACACTTCAACTAAATTTGAGGAATGCATTGCTTCTGTCCTCAAAAGTAATTCTCGTTGTAGGTCTCATTAATTACCAGGGTAGGAGCGCATTGTAATAAAAATGCTATGGTGCATTTAACCATGTTAGCGCTCCTTAATTCTCATTAGAAGGAAATAAATGATGAAAATAAAAGTACTCCTTCAACTTTGTATCTGGGGCTAACTTGCTTGGCTGTAATTCATTGGTAGCAGCTTATGGCTGGAAGAAATATTAGAATAAATCAGTGTTTACATTAACATAGCTCAATTAGAATTAAATAAAAAGACTGACCTAGCCGAGGTTACAGCCTCTCTAATTCTGTTTTCCCATCTGGGAAATGTGGACACCAATATTGCTTCGACTGTGGATAAAACACTTAGAATGGTACATGGTACTTAATCAACAGACAATACATATTAGGCACTATTATTTTTATCATCTCATTACTGTTTTTGGTATTCGTATCATGACTCATTTATATGACAAACTATATAGAAACGACTCCATTCAAATAAAATGAAAATCTTCAATAAATCAAACTATATTGTACTCATTTGGCTACTGATAGAATACTTCCAAAATCAGCTATAGTATCCTCAAGAAGGGAGGGGGAATAGGTCTATCGTCTTACAAGGAAATGGAAAACTCCAAAGCATGCAGTCTAGGAAGCTAAGTCAACTACATGCACATGTGTATATATTATATAAATGCGTAAATGTAGTTATATATATAAATGCTATATCAATTACTAATTCATTTGCAAAATATTTAAAAGGTAAAGGTTTACTGACTTACCCTTCCAAGTAACTACAGATGGAGAGATTATTTTGCTTACTGTATATGTCAAATACTGATTCATATTAATTTCACCTTTCCCAACCTTCTCCTTCCTTCATGAAGGCCAGATACCTAAGAGGCCCAAAGACTTCTTTAGACCAGAGAGGGCTAAAATAAAGATGTTCTGGAGAGTGTGTGGGAAGAATAGAAAGTGGGTCAGCAAACTATGGGTAACAGACCAAATCCCATTCACCCCTTGTTTTGATAAAGTGTCTATAATAGATACCCTGGACCACTGAAAAAAATGAACAAGTGAGTCCCAGAGCAGATTAAGCCTCAAACATCACTGAAGGCAAAAATGACAAAACTAAAGTTTTCCTACTTCAGGCACATGATGAGAAGTCAGAGATCTTTGGAAAAGACAATAACACTGGGAAAAATAGAAGGCAGCAGGAAAAGACCAAGATCAAATATGAGATGAACTGACTCCGTAAAAGAAGCCATAGGAATGACTCTATAGGGGGCAGGGCTGTTGAGAACAGGATGCTGTGGAGATCACTCATTCAGATGGTCAGCAGGAGTCAGAGCCGACTCAATAGCACGTAACACAAACAGAATGCCCCATGCCCATTTCTTTACATAGTGTCTATGGCTGCTTTTGACAGCAGAGCTGAGCAGTTACAAAAAAGACCATTTAGCCCAGGAGAACTAAAATATTTACTATCTGGTCCTTTAATGGAAACATTTGCCAATGTTTTAGAGAACACTTGAATCAAACATCAGTATAAATTCATATATTGAAAACCAGATTTCATATATGGAATCTGGGAATACCACAGGTAAAGGAATAAATCTTCCTTCCCATCTCTAAGCAAAGTAAATTCAAAGTATCTTCTCCAAATTATTTCATCTGCTGATAAGGAACTAAGACATAGGAAAAAAGTTTGTAAGTACATAAATTATACTAAGGATACTTGTTTCTCAAACAAGGGATGCATACTACTTTGAAGACTCAGAAACCAAGCTTGCTTCATAGAGCACACATGAAAACACACATTTGTACTTTTAAAGTCATTTGATACTATACATTTGAATGTTGAGTTTATCAATTTTTTCTCACCTACCATATTTAGAATTTCACTGTGATCTCCAATAGATATATGTAAGAAACTTTATAAAGCATGACATGACAATACTTTTGAAAAAAAGGAACTGATAAAAAAAGATCCAAACCAACAGGATAAATAAGATTGGAAGAGTATGAGGTTTTAGTTATCAATTCTGTGTTATATATAATCAAAGATAATCTGGTACTAAGAAATACATAAATAGTAATTAATTTTCCTGAGTTACTTTATATTTCATTAATTAAAATATATATTTTGATGACCTGTATACAACTAAATATAATGAAACTTCTTTGAAATGGTACTTTTAAAATTACTTTAGAGGACAAGTTATTTTTAACTTAAAAAACTGAAAATAAGTAGAAATACTATCCACAAACATCAAGAAAAATTTCAAGGAAATCATCAAACACAAAAAAGATAGGAAGAAAACTACTATATCTTTATAATTTGTCACTAAAATCACTTGTTATAAAAAGACAAAAAAGGAGCCCACTAAATGACTCATCAACTTTGAATACTTAACTTTCAATCACTCACGACTTTACACAAAACGAAACATTTTCCCAGGTACCTACTACTCTTTGTATGCAAAATACTTTTATACTCTGAAATATATAACTAATATTTCAGAATGCTACTTGAAATTCAGAATAAATAACATTTCCAGAACTGTCTCATTTTCTAGACTAGTTTATTAACAGAAGAATCTGTCCTAAAAATTAGTTGCAACATTTCAGAAATAACTATAACATGTCCCATTACTTTAACTAAAATAACATTAAAAAGTATAAAGAAACATTTAGATCAGTCACATAACCATATTTTATGCTTCATCATTTTATAAATAATAATCTAAATGACTCAGTAAACAAGAAAACTCAAGAAATATAAGCCGGGGAAATTTGATCATTTTACAATTACATGAAAATGATTTTAGAAAATTTTAAAAAATTGAGGCACTTAAATATAGTTTTCAAACTTATCTGTTATGGATTATTTAAGTTACATCAACATAGAAAAATGCTTTAAATAAGACATATTTTACTTTTTCCCAGGACCATGCCCACTTGTCAGCAATAAATTTGAGGTCCATAGATACTTGTATAGAGGTGCTTCAGTGATTCCAGATTCTTCCTAGAGTTTGTTCTGCCTGATTTATGACCCAAAACTGAGTATCTATGCCCTCAAGTATTAATACATGAGATGTAGCTAACAGACATAAAAGACCTTACAACAAACCTCAGAAATTTGCTTTTACTAATATTACTTTTGTAATTTCTAAGTTCAAATGCATTCAAAAGGTCCTTGTGTGTACAGTTTCAACATCAAAACAATACTTAAAATAGTAGAAATTAAATAAATTTAACAAAATTCTATAGTTTTAATAAACAATATAAAAATATTTATGTCCAGATTTTAAGCTCTTAATATGCTACTGATCATCAGACAAACAGAAAAACAAAAGAATGCTAAATTGAATCTCAATTTCTTATAAAATTACTTAGGCAAAAAAGTATTTTATTTGTCAACGTTATTCTTAGAAAGAGAATATGAACCAACACGGTAAGCACTAGAAGAATGATTCAAAATGTGAAATATTAACTATTTATAAAGACAAATGTAAATAAGATAAAGAATGTTCAGCAAATTGATGCAGAAAATTCAAATGATTTGCTCATATCCATTGAGAATTAGTCATAAAACAAAATAACAGTTCCAAACTTTCCCAAGCTTGTCTGTTACTGAAGAATAACCTAGTTACAATCACACTTGGTAGATACAAAACTTCCCCTTCCTTCTACAACACTGAGGATTTTACTGCAGTGTATCAGTTTTCTGTTCTTCAACCAATCAAGCGCCACTTGCCAGAGGATAGATACAAACTGGCAAGGGGAAATGAAAGGGGAAGGGGAAGGGGCAGGGGGATGCTGAGAAAGATACACTCTAGGGGCTATTCACAGGGCTTTCTTGGCTTCCATCTTGGCACTGTCCCCAAGCCTAAACTCTAGAAAAAAATCCTCAGCCTCATCCAGATTCTTCCAAGTGGCTCACCTCCATGGTCATGGCCGGGGCCTAGAGATGAGTAAGGCACACTCCCAGCAGGCTAAGTTGAAATTCTGAATATTTTTGCACTAAAACTTACTTACATAAAATGAGTAAGTTTTAAGCTTGTGATTCCTTTTATCTTTGAGGAATTCTTTGAAAATATGACTTAGTTGAGATATAAATGCCCTCCAAATTTTATATAATGTCACAGAGATCATGGACTTTAGCATAAGAAGCCCTTGTTCCATAGTACTATCATTGATGAATTTTAGAAACGTTATGCACCAAATAGACTTCCCTGCCAGCTCAAGGAGTCTATGCAGTATTTCCTCAAAGGCAAAGTATGAGTCCAATACAATGGTTTTATAAACAAATTTCTCAAACAAAACCCTATCATACAAGATATATCAATGTATTTCTATCATAATTTCCTCTAGATATATTACAAAATAATTGAGTGTTTTTAAGCCATTTATATGCTAACAGGTTATCACCCTTATGCTACAAATAAAGAGGGTAGAACTATTAAATTACTATCCCAAAGGTATAAAACTAGTTTCAGAAAAGTATTCCAATTCAAGCATCTTTGTATCTTCAAGAAAGGTACCTGTATGATATTTAATAAATGGAATATTACCCTACTAATAAAGTGATAGTAGCATAAAATTAAATTTTTTTCATTTATTATTTACTACAGACTTATAAAATAAAAATTATACCATAGAATAATTTTTCTAAGTTAAATTCTTCTCTCACTTTATACCACATTGATTTTTGCTGCATTCAACTGAGGAACTCAGGATCAATAATAGTATTGAAAACAGACATGTCACACATATCTATCAAGTGCTTTAAAACCAAAACTATAGATATACTTACTTATCAAAGCTATCACTATTTTTGATGAAGCTCTCCAGTTTTTCCTTGGCATATTCCACCACATCTGAATGAAGCTCGATCCCATGATTTATTCCAAAAGGACCTGCAATCGTAGCAGCATTTTTATAAAAAATATTAATGTCATTACAGAGCTTTTAATTTCTGTTCATTTATCACAGGAGCATTTAAAGAAGACGTGAAATATTTGAATATCTGCTAGCCACAGATTTAAAAAGCTCATCAGAAATCTATTAACATTACTTAAACTTAAAAATATGCTTATCTATCAGGACAATATTGCCAAAGAAATAGTCATACACTATATGAGGTTTAAGTTCTTTATCATTATATTTATTGTTAAAAATTTGATAATATCTAAAATCCTGAAACCATAGGCTGACATAGATATTGTATAAATATCTCATGACATCTGACTACTATCCAGTAAATGCTAACTTCCTCAAGGGCCAAGACCACATCCTGCCTTTTGGAGCTCCCATCATTTAGCAGAATGTGGCCATCAGTTACTTGTTGCAGAACTGATTTTACTCTCCTGTTTCAGCATACTTCACACTTCTTACCTGGTATTTTTTTTACACATAGCCAAGAATGAGTGACATTCTAGGGATGAGAAATACGGGAGAGAAATACAGGAGAGCTTTCTCAGCCCCAGATGTTTCTGAGATGGCTCTTTCTCCACCCTGGTAACAATTTTCTGTGATTATGACTAACTGGATTTACGTTTCCTAAGGCTACTGTGCATGCTCCATGACCCACATGAAAGTAACACACAATTTCTTCTAGTTATGCCAGCTCCTTTCTGCAACTGTCAACCGGGTTTTCTAATTTACATTTGTTGTTTTACTGAGAGATTGGTTTCCTAGGGAAAAGTGTGTGTTTGTGTGTTTCTTATTTTCTGTATCTTATATGGACTTATTTTGTATCTGCATCTTATATTTATCTTAGGAACTACTTAAGTAGATATGCCACCAACTAAATATCATTAAAAATACAATATATATTGAAATTTTAAAATAAAAAATCAGCTATCAATTATGTTTAGAGGGCACATGAAAAAAATGATTTGTGATCTAGGAAGTACCTAAACTATAAAAATTACACCAAAATTTTCAGATACTATCTTCAAGCCAACATCAGATAAAGATAATGCTTTAACCTACTATATATTTCTATCACAAAAAAAAAAAATGACTCTACTTTAAAAATGTATTCAAATAAAAAGATTAAAAAGGTACTTGATCCATCAAACCACAACAGAATTTTCTTTGCAATGTTTTTATAGTTTTTAAAATAAATTATTCTGAACGAACTGTTCGTTGGTCTTATCTTAAAACTGGAATATTCATCCAATGCCATTTAAGACCTCTTGAGATTCCTTATCATTACCATAAATTTATTAAAACTAAAATTTTTTTTCAAAAAATAAAAGTGGCAAAAAAATCAAATCTAGAGAAGCAGTTATGTCATTTTTTTAAATATAAGATTGAATCTAAATATTTTCAAAATCTGAATTTCCATAAGGAAACAAAGAATGTTAGGAAAACTGATTAACGTTTTCATTTAAAAATTCAAATTAAGCTACAACTACTTAACATTAGGTACACAGTACGGAAAATATTGTTCAATGAAATTGATCTGCTTTTTTCTAACCTTTTAAGGTAACCCATTGAACCTAAAACATAATAGACTTTTATATCCATTATCCATTAAGAATCTAGTTATATGAATCAACCATTTTTAAGAAAACTAGGGCTATAAGAGATCAACAAAGGTCAATATTGCTGGAATCTGAAGTTTCCTTAAGACCGAATGCATAAGCACTATAATAAATGTGTCAAGTAAATAATCCGAAAATCAAGGCTTCTATTCGACATCTGAAAATGCCTGAACAGAGGGAGTGTGAACTTCAGAGTTCTGGGTCAAAAGAGACTACTACATAGGTTGTTCACTTAAAGAAGACAATGGTCTCTTTTTCCTTTCCTTGCTTTCTTACTATCTAAAAGCAAAGTGGCAACTTTTGAAAATAAGGTTTAAAGTTTTTTAAGAAAATATCAAGAACATTTTTCATATAACTTCTTTTTAACATCACCTTGACACAGATGAAGACAATTTCATCAACAAAGGATCTGACAATAAACATATACATAGAATATACTACTATGCATTGATTTCTAGTGCCAACATCATTATGATTTTTTAATAGATGTAATTGTTTATTTTTAAAATAACATGGAGACATATCTAGAATTATCACTAATAAATTGACAATTAACATATTGAAAATAAAAAGAATGCATTAATAAAAGGCAGAACTTACATAGCAATGTCACCAATATCTCATTTATTTATAATGCAGCATACAACTAGAACACATCAAATGTATGATAAAAATGTTATGTGGTGCTTTTTATTACAACTTATATTTGACATTTGTATTCAATAGAACAGAAAGATGAAACAGAGAAACCTAAAAAAGCATACATACTGCTTCTAAGGAATGAGACTAAGAGGTCTAGGATAAGAGATTTTTTTATTATACCCCTTGTCTAAAGTTTGTCTTAACTGTATGCATGTATAGCTTTTCAATAAAAAATGAGCTTGTCAGAGATTAAAAATAAAAACTTTTAAAAAATAAACAATATAAACACACAGAAAGGTACAAGCTGTCAATAGAAAAAATGAAATGGTATCCATAAGAAAAGTATTAACACTTTCTAACATCATCTAACAGATGAAGTATTTGACTTTGTATTCAATAGATTCTAATGTTACTCTATATTTGCCAATATGAAGATTTTTCTATGAAATAATAAATGCTTAATTTTTGTAACACATTTTTAAAAATGGCTAAATATTAAAGAGAAAATAGAAAGAACTATATACAATCGTCTATTATGACAAAGTTATTTGAAAAACCCAGGTATATCATATTAAAAATTATTTTTAAGGCTAATAACTCATTTAATAAGAGTAATAACAAATATAATAAAACTCCAATATAATAAAACCTAGAGATTTTTTCTTCTGTAGTAGTTGGATCTAATCTAGCTCACTTATCATCTACTAGTCAATAATCAAAGATTATACATAAAGGTCAATAATTACTAAATATAAGTATGAAGTATTTATGCAATATCTACATTTCTTATTTACATCTATGTTGACTCCAGCCCTACTCTGAAGTACTTCGAAAAGCTGTTTTGGGTATATTGTGCAGGGTAGAAGTATTCTTGAAGCAGGCCAAAGAAATCTGAGAGCTTCAATCAACATTTAAATAAAGTTCTTGGTACCTTCAGAATTCTAAGTAAAGCTAATTTATAAAACACATAGCCACAAGCAAAATATACTTCATAATACATAACTAGAAAAGCTCTAAAGATGAACTAATTCAAGATCCATCATTTCAACTGAGGACTCAGATCTAAACACTGTGGGACAGTGAGAAAAATTGTAGATTTAAAGGCAGATGTCTTAAGTGTTCAACCTTGGTTCCTCCTCTTCACAGCTATACAATCTGAGACCAGTCACTTACCATTTGAAGACTTTCCTACTGTATAAAATGGGTCCCAGAGAAAACCATGTAAATTATGTAGAAGTGCTTCACATACTATAAAGTACAAGATGGGTACAAATCATTAGAACTTATAATGTGCCCTCTCATTGCATACCAAACTGGTTAGTCGTAGAAACAAAACCATAACCTATATAAGTGGTTCTCAACCCTGACTGCATATTAGAATAACCTTGGAATTTTTAAATTAAGTTTAAAAGTAGATTAAATTTAATTTAAACTGTAAATGCTTGTGTCCCACCCCCAACAGGTAGAGGGATCTCTCAGGTGTAGCTCTGGTTCTGCAGGTACCTTAACATGCAGCTCAGCTCAGGTTAACCACACCCGCCATACCTTCTTAATTATTACAAAGCCCAATCTAAATAATTTTTAAAATCTCTTTGGACTATCCAAATCTCTGTTCTCATTAGTAAAGTGATACCAAGAGTACATGACTACAAATAAAATCATTTTGGATAAAACTAAATATTTACCACAAGAGGGAGCAGGTTAATCAGTTATTTGGTTTCTATGAAACTAGTATAAAGTTTCTCAATGAGAACTAAAATATATATATGTAAAAACATCTTCAAAAAAAGTTATATTATTTTATTACTAATTTTAGTTGTACGAAATTAAGCATCTTTGGGAAGATTTATAAGTAACTTCATAAAAATTCAGAGACAAATAACAGGTGAAATGCAAACAAGTATAAGTTTCATTCTTTTTTTCCATGACCATCTTAGGGTATAATATAGACACTAAACAGTGCAAAGGTAAAGGAGAGAATCAGCAAAAAATTAATCACTAACTAAAGAGATATTGATCTAATGTACTGCTACTTATTAAGATATAATTAATTTTCTATGGTTTCTCCATCATACCACTATATCACACTAAAAATGCATATTAAAGACAAACACTTTCAAATGTTTACTGAATCTTGCTGTGTTAGCTTAACCATTCTCCAGCTGGCTGGCTATATCTAAGACTACAGATGTGTTCTCTGCTCTCTAGGTTTAGTAAAGTCCTCATGAAGCAAGTCTTGAAATTTACCAGAAAGTTCAGGTTCCAGTCCCTTGGGCTCATCTCAGCTTATGGATATATGTGCTGTTTTTATTACATGTGAATCACAGAAATATGTTTACACAAAATCTGAATGTTGGTTTAAACAGTTACGGAAAATGGACCCAAACCCCGATGTAACTACGTCTAAAATGTCAAAAATATCAAGAACAGATGTCACGATCAGTTCATTTACATATTTCTACTCAGCAGGCTGAAAATATTCAAGTCTAATATGTCCAGAGCAATTTGTGATTGTACCTCATACAGCTACACTGGAATTTAAAAAAGAGATAAGTTTCTACCAAAGCAAAATCAATAAACTGAGGGAAAATGTGCTCAACTATAACACAGTAAAGAATAGTTTTAAAAGCTAATTTAAACAGCTTTAGATCTTGATCCAAGTTCATTTTTAATGTATCATTCTCCTGGAAGCCATTTTCATCAGCTCTTTCATTCCACTGCAT